GAAACATCCCATTCTCTCTCTCTCTCTCTCTCTCTCTCTCTCTCTCTCTCTCTCTCTCTCTCTCTCTCTCTCTCTCTCTCTCTCTCTCTCTCTCCATTATGTCTGGCCATGAGTCTCTGTATTTGTTCCCATCTGCTGCAGAAGGAAGCTTTTGTAATGATGGTTGAACAAGGTACTAGTATATGAATATAGCATATTATTAAGAGTTATTTTATTGTTACTAAAAACACTCCAAAACATAGTATTTTATTTTACTCTAGGTCTCTGGACTGTCTGGTCTCTGGTTATTGGTCATCCAAGCTGGGCTGGATATGAGTTCCTTCTTATGCAGTGGGCCTTAAGTCAAATCAGACACTAGTTGGTTACTCCCCTAAATCTTGTACCATCATTGCCCTAGCATATTTTTCAGACAGGACAGATTGTAGATCAAAGGTTTTGCGGCTGGGTTGGTGTTTATATTTCTCTTTTCTTAGCCTACAGAGTCTCTCCCCAGACCAAAGACTAGAAAATGGCAGTAAAGGTTCTTTGTGGTCACCAGCTTGACAACTCCATGTTCAATGGGTTGTGTGGGTGTTGTCCTTAGCAATAAAGTTTTGCTATCCATTTGCAGAGAGCAACCTCTTATCTTGGCAATTTCCTGGGTTGTTTGGGGATTTCCATGGGACCCCTTTGGCCAACAGATCAATTCGATGCAACCCAGTCCTGCTACTAGAACCTCATTTTGTTTACAAACTATGGTCAGTTGGAACTCTGTCTTTCTCATTATTTCAAGACTTCATTAGTATCGCCTTCATATATCTTAGAAAGTTTCCAATGGACTAGGTTTCTATACCACACCTCCCAAATGCCCAGTTTTTGATTATCACTTGTATGCCATTTGTTTGTGTCTGTCCTTATGCCAATATCAAGGTTTTGACTATAAGCTTTGTACTAAGTTTTAAAAGGGGGATGTACCAATCACCCAACCTTTTGTTTTCAGACAGATGTTGGTTGTTCAGGGGCCATTACAATGCTGTATGAATTTCAGGATCAGGTTTTTCCATTTTTAACAAAAGACTACTTAAATTTTATTAAGGATTGCTTAAAATTCCCATTTTATGAACATGGATATATTCTAGATACATTTCTTACAAATGCCTTTTCATTTTTAGGCCTTCTTTTAAAAACTAGCAATGTTTGTCATTTTCATTGTAAAGTGTTAATTCACCTACTTGGTTAAATTTATTCAGATGTGATTTACTTTTTGGATTATAAATAGAATTATTTTTTAAACTTCCTTTTCATGTAATTTATTGTTAGTAAATAGCAGATATAAAAGAGTTTCATATGTTCATTTTGTATTATCCCATTTTTCTTTGTTATCTAAATAGTATTGGGTAGATGTTTTAGTCTGCTAATATACAAAATCATGCAATCACTGTGCAGGGGACAGGATTACTTCTTCCTTGGCTGTGTAGATACCTTTTATTTCTTCTTGCTTATTTGCTGTTTAAAGCCCAGAGAGCAATATGAATAAAAAAAGGAGTGAAAGCAAGCATCTTTGTCTTGCTCTTACTCTCAGAGGGACTTCCCCTATTGAGTATGATATTAACTGTGAGTGTTTCTTAAGCATCTTTCACTAGTGGCAGTTTAAATTTTTGCATCATTAGTTTCCTTGTTTGTCCTTCACCCCCTTTCCCCTCATGGATTCATTCTTTGACCTTTTCCAGTATCTCTTGATGAACTTCAGCTCATTCAAAGTTCTAGCTTTAACCAGCAACCTCCATAGTGGGCAGCCCTCTTCCTGGATGCTTTAATGGTTATTACAGGAACAGATCCTCTTCAAAGCTTCTGTTTGAGTTATTTTCTCACCTCATCTGTTTTGTTATATTTATATTATCTACAAACTTCTCTAGCCATTTATTTTTGTGAAAGTACCTTCTACTGAATCTTGAGGTATATTTTTCTGACTGAATTCAGCCTAGATGACAGGAAGTTATGGATGCCTATCATTGCTGTGTCTTTGAGATAGCATGTCATCTCTTGGCAGCTAGCTAATTCATCTCATCTGCAGGGAAATCATCTGAGTCCTGGCTACCATTTTATGGTGTTTTCATATTGGTAAAGATGTTCTAAAAGTTGGATGTCTGGGTTTGCTCATTCACAATCTTATCTTCATAGCACAGTCAGGAAAAAAATTGTACTAGTTTAGATATATGTGGACAGAAGTAACAAAGACTTCTTACAAAATGTAATATATCTCACCATATGCTCTACACCACAGCTGATGGATTCAGTGGTTCGATGATTCTAGATACAAGTTTGTTCCATCTTCTGACAATTATCTTCAGATTGATTTTCTAGATACCTACCTGGGGTAGTGTAGTGACCACACAACATTCTTTCTTGTTTACATTCAGGGAGTGGAGGAAAGAGAAAACCTTTTTCTGGCATAGAATGTAAATAATCTCCTGTGCTCATTGGGTTAGCTCAGGCTTTGGCTGTCTTTTCCAAACTCTTAGGTCAACCAAGTAGAACAGCTTAGATTCATTATCTTGTGGTATAGAGAAAGGAGTGGACACTCAAATAAAGTCAAATTTCCCACGAATCATGAAAAAGGAAGCAGGTGACATTTAGTTATCCTTCTATTAATTCAGAGCAACCACCCAGAGTCTATAAGAACAAACAATACCTTACCCCATTTGTCTCTAAAGTGTCACCTCCCACCATTTCCTGTCTTCTACTATCCACAGATACAACAGCATTGAAAATCCCCAGTTCCTGGCTAGGTGCACCTGTTCTCATGTCTGCCTTAGCTGCTCATTCCTGCACCTGATTTCAGTGTCCACATGGCTAGTGCTCCTGGTTCTACAGGTTTCATTACATAGGTGGGCAGGTCTTTCCCCAGTCACCCTTCCTATAGGAGACTTCTGCTGGGTTGTCAGTCCTGGATACTCGGTCTTCAGAACACCCTCGTGAACTTCTTTCATCATAACATGACAGGTATTTTGCAAATAAGTTTATTTGTATGTTTGTTCAATAGTTTTCAACCTTAGGAATCCCTTAGACTATAACATACTTCTCTATTATAGTTACATATATCTCCTGATCATACTATCAGCCCATCAATACTCTGTACTTATATCATTTCTTGAACATGCCCCATGTGGACACATCTTTATTTCCTCATATTTAATATGAAATATTCTCCAAATATATTAAAATGTATCGTTTCCTTTTTCGACTGTCATAAAACCAAATTGTAGCTGGAGATTTCTCCAGTCCTGCCTGGCCCACAGTCAGAACAAATCTCTCTCACCTGTCAGTCCCACAGCTGCTTAGATCCAACCGATAAAACACACAGAGACTTATATTGCTTACAAACTGTATGGCCGTGGCAAGCTTCTTGCTATCTAGTTCTTCTATCTTGCATTAACCCATTTCTACTAATCTATAAGTTGCCATGTGGCTCGTGGCTTACCAGTATCTTAATATGTTGCTTCTCATCACTGTGGCTGGCAGCATCTCTCTGCCTCAGCCTTCCTGTTCCCAGAATTCTCTTCTCTGCTTGTCCTCCCTATACTTCCTGCCTGGCTACTGGCCAATCAGTGTTTTATTTATACAGAATGATATCCACAGCACCAAATGGAGTAATATTTGTTGTTAAAATAAAAAGTAAAAGACACTTTTGCCTTTGTACTTTGAATGTGATTCAATATAAAAGATTATCAGTGGGTATCAACTACTCAACATGAGTATCTAATGTGGGAATATTTTCAGAGAACATGAAGTTCACATTGAGAATGAGGACTGACCTCATTTATAATGTACATATTGCATCCTAGCTCTGCTAATGGGGCCAATGACAATACTTTTTATAAAGGTATAATTTTGATTTTTTTATATTATCATGTTGAAATGCCCCCCATAAAGTTTTAAGAATTAGAATTGCTATTTTATTTTAAATGTATTAGTCATTCATATTATAATTGTTTGTGCTTGTGTGTGTGTGTGTGTGTGTGTGTGTGTGTGTGTGTGTGTTGTGTGTGTTGGTTTAGGTGCCATAGTGTACCTGTGTTGGTCGAAGCATAACTTTGTGGAGTTAGTTCTGTCTCATACCTTTATGTGGATTCTGGGGATCTAATTCAGGTTCCCAGGCCTGTGTAGCAATAACCTATATTAGCTAAACTATCTTGCCACATCCCTGAATTGTTGTTTTTATAAGAGAAGGAAAAGAGAAATGATGAATCTTAGAAATCAATTCCATTTTGATGGTATAACATAGTTACATAATATGCAGCCTCCAAGGGGACTTGGCTGGAATGTCTAATTTCTTAGCACTACATAATTATTTTAAATAAAGTAAAACAAAAACATGTGAGATACAATGGCGAATTTGTATGTGTTTTGGACCACGATTCTCTTGTAGCTGGAAGTTCATTCTTTGTATGTATATGCTCAAGTCTAGTCAGGAGATGCAGCCAAAGAAGGCCACATGTGAGTGGCTGTCTGCTATACAGGCTCATCCCGTCAACATCTAGTACTCACCCCCACTCACCTTCTCAGTGAGGAGTTCCTGGAGCAGCTTATATCAAAAGAGCTTGACTTTCTTGCTTTGCTTCACTTTTCTCCAGGTACTTACCACCTTTGACCTACTATATCTAGAACACCTTCAGTGTTGCATCAGTCTCTTCCTAAGAAAATGGCACAGGATGTTATTTTTAAGATGTGTTTTTGTATATTCTTGTTGCATAGAGCTGAGCCCAACACAGAGCATATGCTCAGTAAACATTTGTCAACTGAAAGAATCTTTCTTGAAAATTATTTCTTGAAAGTAAACTGACAAAGAAGTGACTGCACTTTACCCATCCCTGTATAAGAGCAAAGCTGCTTTTGAAGTTAAAACTTTTCCTGTGCTCATACTTCAGAGAAAAAGATGCAGCTGATAACATCTGAGAGGAAGGAAACAGCGCTTCACGTTGAGTTGAGAATATAACATCATACATGTTATTTTTTTTTTATGCAGGCTAGCCTTCTGAACTGTCTCCAGAGATGGCTTATCTCACTTTGCTTTTGGCTATTCTTCATGTGCACAAAGGTAAAGACAATCCTATGTCTTCATTTAAAAGTTTTGTTGTGTTTTTGGTGTCTGAACGTGACGTGCAGATTCCCTTAGGTAATTTCTCACTTGTTCAGAAATACTAAAATTTACAAAAGCCAATTTTGTAGATGAAATTGTCAGGCTTTACTATGAATTTATCAGACTATTTGTTAAGTTTTATAAAATTTATCTATTTGGTTTTTCATGATTGCATATAACTCAGTTTATGTGATGTGTATTTTAGCACTGTGTGAAGAAACCTTTTGGGACACAGCTGTTCAGCTCTCTGAGACTATGACTCTGGAATGTGTGTATTCATTTACGGATAACTTAACCCAGGTGGAGTGGAGCAAGATCAATGGCACAGAGAAAGTGACCATAGCTGTTTACAACCCTAGCCACCCTGTGCATATACAGCATAACTACCTCCATAGAGTGCACTTTCTGAACTCAACAGTGGGGTTCCACAATATGAGCCTTTCCTTTCACAATGCCTCTGAAGAAGACATCGGCACCTACTCATGCTTGTTTCATACTTTCCCACATGGATCTTGGGAAAAGAAGATAAAGGTGGTCCAGTCAGGTAAGGAAAAACTTTATTTTCCTTTTCTCTACTTAAAATGTTTAATTCTAAGAAATCCAACTAAAAGCTTAAAGCATTATTCTGTTCTTTTTCCTGTTCCATTTCTAGATTCTTTGAGGTTATTTTTCCTCAAAGAGTTATGTAAACCAATCCCATTTTTCTTAATTGCTGTCATTTCTGAGTGGAAGTGTCTCATGGGTTTCAGTGATGTGGGAAGAAGCACAGATTTACGTAGTCTTTATGATGACACGAGGCTTGATTCAAGTGATGTTGCCAACATGAAGATTCAGAGCCAATCCCTCCTTTCAAAGCTTATCTCAGCAATGTGTGGGACCATTTCTTTTTGCTGGGCACTTGGCACTAGTTTCAGCCCCTGGATATCTAGGATCTTTTCTGCATAACTTAATCTGAATTTATTAGCAAATTCTGAGCAAAGTTTAAGACAGACTCCATCTTCAACCTATCTACTTCCTTTAAAAACTGAGAGACATTGTATCAGAAAGAGAATAATGATTTATATTAAGTATGCTGGTGACTATGCTTTGATTCTTCTCATATGACCACTTGGACTAGGCATGGTATATAAAAAGAGTCTGGGTTTTACAGCCATCATTTTTCGTAAAATCTTGTGTTAGTGGCTCACCCCTTCTCAATCTGAACAACATGTCAAGACGATAATAATAATTTCCTTCTTGAATGTTTAAGGATAATATATTTAAAGAGTTTGGTCCATGGTCATTAGAGAATAGGGTATTATTACTATCAATATTACTGATTTTTTTCTATTTTTTGATACAAAAAATATTCACAGACTTTTCAGATCAGTGAAAAGGGAAGGGTTTGGAATTGTAGTTTCCTGTCCTGTGGCCCTCAAGTCATGTCCCACGGATACACAAAGGAGGTTGTGTTGTACCATCTGAAGCAGAGCCTTTTTTTATTAAAGTGATGAATATTCTAAAAAGCAACAATGATCATGGTACAAGAGGAATAAGAAATGATTAGGAAGAAATGACACTTTACACATGTAGGGTTTTTTCCCTCTTGGGTATCGCTAATCTTGACTAATTTTGTTATGAAGTGTTAATTAACAAAATACGTTTGGACACTTATTTATTAAAGGATTTGTTATACCACTAAGGAACCTGTTTGCTACCATACACAGGCACCTGTTTAGTGCTCTCTGCTAGTTCTAAGTATAAAATCCACTTTGACCCATATTTCCAGAAACAGAAGTGATATTGGCCTTGAATTAGGGTGATGTATTTCACAGGTGGCTTCAGCTGTCAGGGCTGAAAGGAAAGGAGTGCCCTTTCTTGGCTTGTGGTGCCAGGGTTTGTAGTTTATCTCCTACATCAGGCATTTTGATATGTGTCATAGAAGAGAAGATCTAGACATCTCTGAACGTTTAGTGTGGAACATGGAGCTAAACTGTCAGACCATTGATGGATCAATGAAGGATTTGTAGCATAAATTTTGGAAGAGTTTGGGGAATTTTTTCCTCCATTATATCACTCAGTTTTGCTGCCCCCTTTACTTTTCTAGGTTAGTGAAGGAGAGACTCCGGGGGCTTGAAATGGAATGGTGGTTCTTCATTTCCTCAAGTGTCTCTCATGGTGAAATCCTGAAACATGTTTTGTTGATTTAAAAATAATGATTTTTATCTTTGAAAAGCATATTGATGTAGTGGATTAAGGCATATGGTCTACCTTATTCTGAGATTTGCAAGGGTGTTTTTTTTTATGATAATGGTGAAACTAAACATTTGTTGTATTTTAAAATTTGCCTTAAAATGTATCTAAAAAGCTCCTTTTAAGGAGCCTCAGTAGCACAGTAGGTAGTGTGTCAGTATCATAAAAAGTTTCTTTTATGCTTTATTTACAACTTACCAAGATCTACAAATACTGTATTTTAAATAATATAAAGATAGAATTGATCTATTTAATACTAAAAATATCAAACTTAAAATTGTAGAAATCTTAATGTGCATAATAGATTGTTAGAATTCTAAAAAGAGGAGTTGATCTATTTAATATTAAAAGAAAAACAAACTTAAAAATCAGAAATCATAATGTGCATGACATTGTCAGAATTTCATGGGAAGGAGTGATGCTACATGCTTATCATTAACACTGACTTCTGCTCTTCATTAGTAACTCTCTATGGAAGAAGGATCTTCTTTCAGTGTCTTAGATTTCCTAATTCTTCCCCACTGTACACTTGGACGTGGACATTACCTTCAGGATCTCCACATGGGGATGCCATGCATTGTAAAGTCTTCTAGCCTTTCCAAGGCCTCCAGCTCTGTATGTGTCTGATTGGTATAGCACCATAGTTGGATGTTAAGTAATATCTGGGAGACATGAACCTCTAGGTCTTACAAGGATGAGACATGACCATTGAATATGTACCTAAAAAGTTCCTTTGTGCTTTATTTCTTCCTCCTTTCCATAGTCTTTCAGCCTAATATTGAGCTAGTTAGAGCTCTTATTCTGGATAAGTGACAGTGTTAGGAGAAAAGACTTTAAAAATGTTTGCTAGCTTTAAAGTAGGGATTTCTTAATTACCAATAAAATCAAATAGATAAAATTGGCTATATTATTTTCACAATTCATGGTAAAATATATTGAGGTGACTTAGGCAATAACATTTCAAAAGTGCTCTTTGGTAGCAGAGTCTGTGGTGGAAGTCTTGGGGAACAGATTGCTTACCTAGTATCTCTGGCCTTAGTAGTCAGTGAAATAAAATATATTTCTAGTTAAATAACTCCCTACCTGCTAGATGATGACCCACTGCAATGTCCTGCCCAAGTTTTACTAGATATCCCCTTTGTAATGAAGCAATCAAATGTCTCCTGTAATATGTTTGACTACTCAACCACACAGAAAAAAAAAAAAAAAAACATTTTCTGGTGCCCAAATGAAGGAGAAAGGGGAGAGAGGAACCATCAGACCTGTTTTGGAATATGATACATTAGCTGGTTAAAGAACTACATATTCTGTGATATAATGGTTCTGCTCTCTTTGACAGTCTATTGATTGGGCACATGTGTCAGAAAATCCATGTTTATAGTAACAGTGATGATAGGAGCAATATTTGGGAACCATCCAGAAGTTCAGAAGTAGGATAAGCAGATACACAGGGTTCGTTCATAAAGGAGGAAACTGCATTTCTGAGAAGGGAGGGATCACCACTATGCTCACCAACAGAGATGAATCTCACCAAAATCACACCGAGGGAAGTAAGCAAACCATAGACGACTTTGGGTGTGGTTCCTGTCCTTTACATTGTATAGTCATGCAAAAACTAAGCAAAACATGGTTGATTGACATATAAACAAGAACAACAAAATAAGGCTACACTGAACAAGGAGCTCTAAAGCATGATCAGAAAGAATACAGAATCAGCAGTGAACACCAGAGTCTTTAATATTCATTGTTATAGTGATATTCATATGGATTTTCTTTACTATTTCTCAAAACTATATTATAGCATTTCTTTCGAACATGCTGAATTTCTAGGAAAATGGTGAAAAATATTTAATTGCAATATTTGAGCAGTTCAAATATACCTACCTAAGGTAGGTATGAAAGTTCCACTCTTATTTGGCCTGAAAATGAAAGAGAAGGAAGCTTCAAGAATGCCCTCAATTTTTTTTCATGATCTAAGAACAGGAAAATGTTGACTTTAGTTAGAAAAGACAGAGAATTGGGGGACCAGATTGGGCTTGTCAGAAAGGACGTAATTCTGGTGCCCTGGGTTGTAACATAGACTCTGAGCCTGTCACTCAACATTATGGAACAGTGGAGCAGAAAAGCATTTCAAGATTGAATATGCCAGGTTTGATATTATTTTGTCATCCAGTATATGTGAAAAAGAAGTTAACAAAGTATCAATGAGTAGGAGCAGAAGACTTAGGACATAACTTGGAGAAAGGGCAAATTGAAGTGTGTGAAGACATTCATGTACAAACATGGAAGTTATAGGGAAAGTAGGGAGAGAGGCAGGGATGTGAAGAGAAGGATGAAGCAGAAAAAATGGATCACTGGTTTGGGAGCAGCAGACAGTGGGACTCACAGTTATCTTTCTTGTTCCACCTGCACAGATGTTTTGGTTGGTTGTATCACATGGCTGTGATGTTCATATTCCAGTGCACTTATCTCAGATTGAGCACTGAGTTGCTTCTCACTGTGTCCCTTTAAAGAGTTCCATTCATTTTGGGTGGGATAAGGATGTACATGTCTTTCACACCCCTTTCCATAGTCTCATATTCTTACTCCCTGCTAGTCTAGCACTCTTTGCCCAGGTGCTAGCAGCTAAAAGGTTCATGTGTGTGTATTGACAGTTAACAGTGCCTTAGAGATTGGAGGCCCCAGAGTTGGTAGAATAGCTTCTAAAGATAATGCTGACCTCCTTATCAAGTGGGGACAGTATTGTTTCTTTTCCCCTTAGGGTTGGTGATACAAGGATTCAAAGGTGGAAAGGGGAGAGTGTCCTAGATCCAGTTTCCAGAAATAGGTTTGCTGATATGGGGAAGTGAACTTAATCCATTAACCCATCCACCAAGTCTTTACTAAGAACTTAAAATATTCTAGGTAATGTTCAGTGATTTGGAAGATAGAAATCCGTGGATCTTAGCTCTGCATGTAGTTTATCCTTGTTTGCAATTAATAGCTTGTCTTATTTCAGTAGGTGGACTTTCTTTTGTAATCCTTCTTAATATATTATCACACTTTTATTTCAGCTTTTGTTTTGTTTATCCAGAATAGAGAAAGAAAGAAAAATGTATGAACATAACTCTACCTTGTGTAGTACTGACAGGTACAAAGTGATGAAGGTGGAGACTTGGTGTGAAAGGTCAAGGGCATTCTGAATGTCAAAGGATATTCTACAGCTGCTAAGAAGGCCACTAAGAAAAAACCTCATAGCCTCTTGCTACAAAGGTTACTGGAAATTGTTCAGATCTTTATCTTAATTCTTTAAATTCTCAAAGGTCAAGCAAA